CCAGTAATTTAGGTCAGTATCGGACCGATACCGATACGTAATATCGGATCGGTCCATCTCTAATCTGTAGTGGAATACATTTTAAAAGTGACCTTCCTAACACTGTTTGTGAGTTGTCACGCTCACAAGATTTTCACAAAACCTGACCGCTGACATGACTGTACTGAATCCTAAATCATTTCAAAACACAAATAAAATCTCAAAGACACTCAGTATTTGAACGCATCTCAGCATTTAGTAAAACTGAAGTAAATTTGCATATACATACTGTGCACAGTGGCTTTACCAATAACTATGTATGACAGACAGTACAAAAGACAGGACAGACACACAAAAAGGATAGTAATTACAATAAACATTTAATATAAAATTTAATGGAAAAGAAAAAAGGGAATGCTCAGACATCCAGTCATCCTTTGATCTCAGATTATCAGAAACCCTATAAAAACATTTCTGGAAGAACCTGTTACAACATGTTATAGTTACACCAAAATCTCTGTGGGAGGAGAATACTATGAAAAACAATGTGCTGCCGATACTGCAGTACCATTATTTGATGTGATAAGAGACTTTAAGGCATGTATGACACTTGACTTCGGTTACTATGACTGGTTATTCTGCCAACAGAAAAAAATACAGTTTGACCGTCCTTAATGCCTGGGCCACGTGATGACACGTTATCATTTATGAACATGTGCATTATGCATTATTATCAACATACACACACACACACACGCATTGACATGACATCATCAAATTTCAATGCTGTTCCATTCACTGATTTTCTATGTTGATAATTTCGTACATTAAAAACATTTCTGCCCTTTAAAATAAAATTTGAACAGTCAAATATCTCTACATGATTCTCTTCTTAGCTGGTCTAAGCAGCTGCAGTCAGTCAGCAGTGGGAACATTTTTCCACTCATGCGGAAACGCTCCCTCCTACACAGAACACAGAGACACTGAAGACCCATACCACACTTCAAAACCAGGATAAAGAGGTTCGGTGAATGTGGTGTTGAAGGTGTGGAGGTGGACGAGTTTGTCAGAGGAGACTCTGTAGAAGGACAGAGTGCCAGCAGGACAGTCCACATACACTGCTACTCTGTTAGAGACGGAGGAGGGTAGGGCCAAATCTACGTCCTTCCTAAAGTTGTTGTGACAAGCACGGTAACCATCTTCACAACAGTTCAGACTCCAAGACTGATCGTTGGAGCCAAGCTTGCAGTCATCGCTGTCTCCTCTCCTTTGAATTTGTCCGTAAGTCACTGCGACGTCAATCACTCCTCTACACTCGATCTCCCAGTAACAGCGACCTGTAAGCTCATTTTTGCAGAGAAGCTGATTCCAGTAGTCAAATCTGCCTGGATGATCAGGATATGGCTGCACCGCTCTCACATGTGTCACCCTCCTGTTGTTGTCAGACAGTTTGAGGTTTCTGTGCGCTGTATTTGGGTCCAGTTCAAGTTCGCAGAAGTCTAACAGAGAAAGTACAATGTAATAGCAAAGACATTACAATAGTAGTTTATAGATCTTAATTCTTGCACAATCAAGCACGAATAGAAGATCAGTTCCACAATCGGTGCCCCTTCAGAGTGCCAGCAGAATGAAAACCTTTGAGAGTAAGCTGAATTATCTAATCAGCTTCTCACTTGCATCTTAAGTGATTTAGGCATTTGAATTTAATAAGAGATGAATAAAAAGTGCAAACTTACATTTTTGCAGTGCAAACCTCAACACCTGCTCTGTGCTGTGGTCCACTCTGTAGATAAGTATAGTGACAGCGACATACAAATTATCAAGCACAATACATTAGTCATGAATGCAAAGAATTCAAATTTCCTGATATGAGACACTGTTTTAGATCAAATTGCTATTTTACTGATGGGGGCGAACAAGTTACTTTTGTTGGTGATGTCAAATTGTAAACCACAAAAGTGTTTTAAGAATCTAAGAAGTGCAAAAGAATCTGACTTTGATTAAAAAACAAAAGTGCATAAAAATGTTGGTCTCAATAGTTTCATCCTATAAAATGTGAAAGCCAAAAAATAACCTTTGAAAATGCGTTCGAGTTCAATGTTTTATGAGTCACTTGCTAACAAAAAGAATTAGCATAGTATGCTACTATACTGTATCATTAATGAAAACAGTAATTGGTTTAGAGTATAATTTAAAAATGTTAATTTATATTTCCATTTTCTACCTCTTTAGTTGTTTCGGATACTCCATACGTCTATCAACGTGCTGAGATTTATTAGTTTTCACCACTGGCAGCAGCCTCAGAAGAGCCTCCTCAGTAACTGAGTATTTCTTTGAGTCAAACACATCCTGATCTTCTTCTGATGACAATAAGATGAAGACCAGAGCTGACCACTGAGAGGGAGATAGCTCATCTTTGGAGAGACTTCCTGAAATCAGGGACTGTTGGATCTCCTCCACCAGAGAACGGTCATTCAGCTCGTTGAGACAGTGGAACAGATTAATACATTTCCCTGCAGACAGTTTCTTGCGGAGTTTCTTCTTGATGTACTGGACTGTTTCCTGGTTGGTCTCTGAGCTACTTCCTGTCTGTGTCAGCAGGCCTTGTAAGAGACTCTGATTGGTCTGCAGGGAAAGACCCAGGAGAAACCGCAGGAACAAGTCCAGGTGTCCATTTGGACTCTTTAGGGCTTTGTCCACAGCACTCTCATGGAGATGTTTGAGTTTAGATTTGGGTCTTACTTTAGACAACAGAGATGATGTTTGTTCTTCTTCTAACAGATCAACTCCAGAGTTGATGAAGGTCAGATGGACATGAAGAGCAGCCAGAAACTCCTGAACATTCAGATGGATGAAGCAGAACACCTTGTCCTGGTACAGTCCTCTCTCCTCTTTAAAGATCTGTGTGAACACTCCTGAGTACACTGAGGCTGCTGTGATATTGATGCCACACTCTGTCAGGTCTGATTCATAGAAGATCAGGTTTCCTTTCTGCAGCTGATCAAAAGCCAGTTTTCCCAGAGACTTGATCAGCTTCCTGCTCTCTAGACTCCAGGGTTGATTTGTCTTAGCTCCTCCATCATACTTGACCTTCTTCACTTTGGACTGAACCACCAGGAAGTGGATGTACATCTCAGTCAGGGTCTTGGGCAACTCACCTTCCTCACTGGTTTTCAGCACATCCTCTAGAACTGTAGCAGTGATCCAGCAGAAAACTGGGATGTGGCACATGATGTGGAGGCTTCGTGATGTCTTTATATGGGAGATGATCATGCTGGATTTTTCTTCATCTCTGAATCTCTTCCTAAAGTACTCCTCCTTCTGTGGGTCAGTGAATCCTCTGACCTCTGTTACCATGTCAACACAGTCAGAAGGGATCTGATTGGCTGCT